ACCATGCTGGGCCCACCTGGGACAGCCCTCTGGGGCCTTCCAGACGTCCGGGACTACAGTTCTCCCATCTGCTAGCCAGCTAGATGGGGGCTATGGGAGTTGTAGTCCAACCCACCTAGGACGTGGCAGGTTGGAGGCGGCTGGTCTAGCCAAACATCAGGTTCCTCTGTGGAGTCACCCTGAGACTGCTGGGGGGCCCGCAGACAAACACAGACACCCCCTCTCCTGGTATCGAGCCAAAATTGATCGGGGTCTCCTCCGTGGTCTTCTCCAGTCCCCTTCCAGAGCCATCCAAGTCAGCAGACATCTTGGCAGTCTTTCCCAGCAAGCCTCGGGGGCTTGAGCACAAGTCGCGGCACGCCAGCAAAGCTCCAGCTGATTTGGGGGAGCCCAGGACGGACTGGGAACCCACTCCTGCTCTTGTTCCTGCCCGAGCTGAAGGCGGCCCTGTTTTCCTTTGCCGTGTTTTTGGACCAGAATGCCAGGGCTTCAGAGAAAGCGAAGGGGATCTGGCTGTCTGGCCGCCCTCTGCCCCCCCACTTTTCAGCCCCCCTTCTGGCTGAACCTGCTGATGCTTCGCTTATCCTAATAAATCGCCATGGCATGTCTACCTCTGAATGCTGGACTGTTGGAAGACAGTCCTGGAACAGTCGGCATTCCGGGGCAACTCCAGTTCAGGGATGGGCTTGGAAGCCCTCCCTTGGCCCTTGGAGGCGCAGCCCGCCGAGAAAGGTGCGGGTTCCCGCTCGGCTTCTGCGCGGATGGGTTGTTTGAGGTCCTGTGGCCTTCGTGTTGGCGTTCGAGAGCTAGTGAGCCCTGGAGGGAGTAAGGGAGTCACAAAATGGCAGCCTGGAGAGACGAGCCTGTTCAGAAAATGGCTGCCCCATGGGCATGGCCAGGCGCTTCCCAAGACGAAAAGCAGCTTGCTCAAGACACAGGCGTGGGGCAGAGGTGGGGTTGGCGCTCCCACGCCCAGGAGCTCGCCTTGGGCCAGAGGGAGAGGGTCCACGCCGGCCACCTTGTTTTCCTGCTTTTAACCACCCACATTAAACAGTGGAATCGAATCAGGAGGGTCGGCGAGCCCTGGGCAGAGAAAGGATGCCCCTGGGCACAGAGTCGCCTGGCTGTGGCCCCCCCGCTGGACCACTGGCTCCAGACACCTCCTCTCCATACCCTCTGCCGCTTGGGTGCGAAGACCTGATGGGCGCCCGCAGGAGGGCGACGGCCTCCACTCTCTTCTTCCTGCTCACGGGTCCCGGGTAGTGTCCTCTGCCCGTGTGGCCACGCGTGCCGGGTTGAGACATCCAGACGGTCATCGCCAGCGTGGCGCGTTGCCCTGCGGTGGGCACCGGCGGTGTGGACAGTGGGCATTCCGTGACGCGATCACGGTCTCTTCCGTGCCACCGAGCCACTGGACCGAGCATAGGAATGGTGCCACTGAAGGGGGGGGGCGGGCAGAACGCCTCCCGGCCGGGCTTAAAAAAGGAAGTAGCCACACTCCAAAAACAGGCTCTTAAAAAGGCATCATGTTTCCTGCCCAGAGCGGAAAAGATGCTGCCTTCATCTGGTGAGGAGCAGGAGAGGGGCTGCTTCCCGAATGTTGGGGACGACCTGATAAGCCGGCTCAGTCTTGAGCCAAGGGGGGGATGGCCTGCTCGCAGGGGGGCCCGTTCCCAGGGGGATGGGCCCACTCCTGCGCTTGCCCTGGAACCCGGGGTGAGGCAGGGGCTGCCGGGCGAAAGGCCGTCGCATCACCGGCGTGGGCCGTGTCAACAAACAGGCGGCTTCCAGAATGTCCCCTTCACCTGCTTGATTGCAGATAAGCCGAGCGAGCGAGTCCCTGGAGCGCCTTTGTTCTCGGGAGTGAGGCTGCAGCCGAGGGGGGGGGGGGGGGAGGAGCGTGCAAGCAGCGAGCAAGAGCGAGCGGTGTCTTGGTTGGGAGCCAAGCGTGGCCGCGCCGGAGGCTGCCGCCGAGCCAGATTCCACTGCGGCTTTGTCCCCGGCTCAGGTGCCCCTTCTAATTGCTCCGTTGTCAGGAGGCGCACGCCTCCACGAGGGTTATCTGATGGCTGCCGGGGGGCCTGTGTGCCCCCCGACGCTGACCCCTGGGCGCAAGCCATGCTCCGGCCCTTTCCGGCCTGGGCTCGGCCTCCGAAGCCCCCTGGGGTGCCAG